CAAAAACACAACCATATTTAATTTACATCTAAAATACAAACAATTCAGCTAAATTTCCCGTCCCAACTTCCCCTCCCCCCCCCCCCCCCCTCCTGTCCGCACCCACCCACACAACCCACCCCAGTCCATATCTCTGTTCCTATCTCTTTCCAACAATCCATGTCTATACCCTTTCTCCTCAACCCTCTCTTCCTACTCTTCTTTTTCTTGTTATTCTTTCTTTCTCTCCAACCTTTCTGTTCCCTTTTCCTGTTTTTGTTATGGTCATGGAAGACATTCCCTTTGAATCTCCTACTACGGATCAGATCACTGGGCCTCCCACTACTTCCATATATTTTCTGGATGTCTTGAAGTCAAGCCATCTTCCCCCAGTCCTTTCTACATTTTTCTATTTTAACTTCCTCTATATGGTATAACTCTTCCATCTTGTTTATATAATCAACCCTCTCTAACCAGTCCCTCATTGTTGGAGGCTCCTGTACCCGCCAGAATTTGGGAATAAGCCATTTAGCCTTGCTAATTAGATTGTATAATACACTATTTTTATACTGCTTCTCCGGTTCATCTGACCTATAAAACAAACACACCCACGGATCCTACTGTATAGTTATTCCCAGTATCTCTTGTATGAGTCAGATTATATCTTGCCGAAACCCATGTATTTTTGGACAATCCCACCAAATATGAGCCATTGTTTCCTTAGCTCCTCATCCCCTCCAACATAGCAGTGAGACTTCTACTCGTTGTCTATGTGCAACATTCGGTGTCAAATACCATCTCGCTAAACATTTGTAATTTATTTCAACCGTGCTCATATTTGTCACCCCATATGTTAACTTAAACATTTTATTCTTCTGTGATTCATTCATTTTTGTTCCCAGTTCCCTTTCCCATTTCTCTAAGAACAGAGGAGGACCCGCCCCCCTCAATTCAGTAAGAATTTTATATATCCCAGAAGTGACATATTTTGGAGCCATACTACAGCCCAACATCTTTTCGAACAGGAGCATGTCCTCCACCATCCTCAGGGGTTGGAGTAACTTCAAAACAAAATATCTTAATTGATAATATCTCAATTCATCTAATGCTACAAATATCTCTTTTTTACTCTTTAAATCTTGAAAAATGCACAATTTCCCCTTGACTACTATGTCCCCCAACCATGCTTCTACATCCTTAAACCATTTCCCGAAAATATTATCCTTCCCTCGCGGGAAAAAATCAGTATCCACCCAGGGAATCAACAGTGAGTTATACTTCCAATCCATTTTTTTATGTAATCCATCCCATACTCTTAACACCTCCTGTGTCAGTGTACTACTAGTCTCATCCATAATACAAAACTTTTGTGGTATCCAAACAATCCTCTCTAATCGAGTGTTACTTAAAGTGCCTGCTATTTTAACCCAACTCTTCCCCTGTGAATTTTGTGCCCAATCTACAATTCCTGACTGTATCACCGCAGTGTAATAATTCTTAATATATCTGGCAAATTTAATCCTCCTTTTTCTTTCTTATTACAAAGAAGTTCATACCTAATTCTCGGTTTCTTATTAGCCCATATGTATTTAAGTATTAAATAAACTTTTTTATTATCGCAAAGAAGGATCTTGGAATATGGACTGGGAGCATATGGAATTTATATAGGATTTTTGGGACTATCACCATCTTAACCAAAGTTATACACCCAATCCAAGAGACCCTTCTCCTTGAAAGTCTTCTCAGCTGCTTTATTTTGTTTATTACCGTATTTTTTGCTCCAAAAGACGTACTTTTTTCGCCCCAAAAAAGGGGGGAAACATGTCAGTGCGTCTTATGGAGCAAATATGGAGCGGCCGGTCCGATATTTCCACCGCCACCGTGTCAGAATACCGGGCCGGCCGCTCAGCTCTGCAGCGGGACCTTACCTGTTCCTCTATCCTTGCTTCTGTAGTGTGGGCGCTCGGCTTGACAGCCGGGTGCCAAGTGCGCATGCGCAAGAAGCGGTGCACTTTGTGAATGGTAAGGCAGCACCTGGGACACATGACAGGTCCCAGAAGCCGCTGGACCAATCACAAAGCACAGCGCTTCTCGCTGATGCGCACTGGGCACCCGGCTGTCAAGCCGATCGCCCACACTACAGAAGCCGGGAAGACAGTGCTCCGCTGGATAGAGGAACAGGTAAGGTCCCGCTGCAGAGCAGACACTAACCAAAGAACAACTCCGCGGAAGTAAGAGCGGGTACCTGTCAAATTTAGGTAACTGCTCCCCCCCCTCCCCAAAGGTCAGCAGTCATCTCCTGTACTGTCCACAGTCTCTGGTCATCCCTGTACTGTCCGCAGTCTCTGGTCATCTCCTGTACTATGTCTGCAGTCTCTGGTCATCTCCTGTACTATGTCTGCAGTCTCTGGTCATCTCCTGTACTATGTCCGCAGTCTCTGGTCATCTCCTATACTATGTCTGCAGTCTCTGGTCATCTCCTGTACTTTGTCCGCAGTCTCTGGTCATCTCCTGTACTGTGTACTGTGGTCCGCAGTCTCTGGTCATCTCCTCCTGTACTATGTCTGCAGTGCATTGGTTCAGAATATTTTTTTTCCTGCTTTCTGCCTCTAAAACCTAGGTGCGTCTTATGGTCAGGTGCGTCTTATGGAGCGAAAAATACGGTAATTAAAGTGTACCCGGTATATATTTTTTATAAAAGGGGTAAATTTTACTCCTAGATAGCCCAATTCCTTCTCCCTCCATGAGAATGGGAAGTCCTTCTGTAGAGTCTGCATCTCTTTCTTAGAAATATTAATATTCAAGATCTCTGACTTTATGGAGTTTATTTTCAAGTTTGAAAGCTCTCCGTACTCTTTTATATTGTGAACCCTGGGTTAACGTTACCTAACCTAATGAGATTATTGAAACAGTATATCATCAGCATATGCCGCTACCTTATGCTCTATCTCGCCTATCTTGATTCCTCTAATATCTACACTATTTCTTACCATCGCCAACAAAGGTTCCAAGTATAAAGCAAATAATAACAGGGATAAGGGATATCCCTGTCTCGTACCATTGTACATCTTAAAAGACTCCGAGAGAAACCCATTTACCTTAACTGCCGCTGTCGAGTATTATAGAGCTCCTTTATCCAACTCATCATCTTAGTACCTATTTCCAAGAGCTCTAGAGTGTTTATCATGAACCCCCAGTCTACCCTGTCCAAAAGCTTTTTCAGCATCGATCGACAATATAATTGTTGGTAATTTTTCTCTTTTTGCCTTCTGTAAAAGAAGCAATGTTCTTAAACCATTATCCCTCCCTTCCCTTCCTGGGACAAAGCCCACTTGATCTAAGTGTATACATTCAGGCATCAGCTCTTTTAACCTCGTAGTGACCACCTTCTCAAACAGTTTTTGTATCTGTATTTAGAAGTTATATAGGTCTGTAACTAGCACATTGTGAGCTATCCTTTCCTTCTTTTAGAATAATCGTTATATACGCTTGCAATGTTTCTTCTCTTATTCCAGTTCCCTCTCCTAAGGCATTCATATATCTATACAGAACTTAGGGACCAAGAGATCTCTAAATTTCTCATAATACCCCACCGTATACCCGTTGGATCTTGGGCTCTCCCCCCCCCCCCCCCGCTGTATTCTTCAATGCCTTATTCATTTCCTACTGAGAGATAGCTTGCTCTAAAGACACTTTTTATTTTGCTATTTTTTGGCAGATCCGCTGCCTTAGATGTTCCAACCGTTTCCCTCTCTTTTCTCCCTCTGTAACTTTTGAGTTCTTAGATTTAACATCATACAGCTTACTATAGAATTTTTGGAACATTTCAGCAATATCAGTGGTGGAGTAGACCAGTTCTCCTTTTTCGTCCCTAATTTTCTCAGTATAATTTTTTTATTTCTTTTCCTTAAGTCTTTTCATCAGATATTTTCCTGGCTTATTCCCGCACCGATATCTTTCCTTTGCAACCCTATTGAAAATCCTCCTTGATTCCTGTTCCAATAAGTCTTTTAACTCTTCTCTTTTGAGTATGATCTTCGAATAAACCTCTGTGTCCATTCTCTTTTATGTGCCTGTTCTAATCTATACAAATCCTCTGCCACCTCCTTTATTTTTCTCTCACGATAGTTTTAATTTTTAGCTCCTGCAGCTATCAGGATTCTCCTCACAGATGCCTTATGTGCTTCCCAAATAGTGTCCAGAGAGACTTCCTCAGTTTCGTTTAGTAGAAAAAAAAAACTGCTCTATTCCTTCCTTAGTCTCATCTCTATTTCAGGGTCCTGTATAAGCGTCTCATTTAGTCTCCACGTTGCCTTTTTGTTCCATTCTCCTCCTACATTTAATTTCCCCATGACAGGAGCATGATCCGAGATAGACATAATTTCAGTATTAGATTTAACCAATAAGTCCAATTGCATATGCTCTAGGATATTTCACCCTCCACGTATCCATTAACTGACTTTGATGTAACCTCTTTTTCAGCATTCTTAGTTTTTTACTTCTTCCTCTCTGCGCATTCAATGACGTATCCATCCATGGGTCAAGACAGAAATTAAAATCTCCTGCCAAGACCAACATCCCCCCCTCTCAAACTCCATAATTTTCCCCAACACTCCATACAGAAATACTTCTCGGTTTTGATTCGGGCAATAGATATTAACAAAGGGATAGGTTCATCCCCATATTTTCCCTCTTAAGCATAGGAACCGGCCCTCTAGGTCCACCAATCTCTCCTCCACAACAAAACCCACATTTTTTGAGAACCCTTCTTTAGCCCTCTTTATTGGTGAGTCCGCATAATAGCATATTGGGTAGTACCTAGAGTGTAGTTTAATATTAGAGTCATGTGTAAATGTGTCTCTTGTAAGAACACAACATCTGCCAGGAGTTGGTGAACTTCTCTAGTAGCTTATGTCTTTTAGTAGGAAAGTTTAAACCTTTCACGTTATATGTCATAAAATTATTCAAACACATAGCTATCTAGTATTTCTGTTCTCTTTCTTGTTCGAAGGGAAATATAGACTACACCGGGCCTTGAAATTTCCACTCACCTGCTCGCCAATGGCAAGTAGAAATTATGGTGGGGGCGAGTGTGTCCCCCAGGGCCGTCTTGCTGAGCAGGCTCGGAGCTCAGGCCAGATCTGTCAGTGGCACTGGGAGCCGTCAGACTGCTCAACACATGAGTGCAGTGAAAGCAAAGGAAGGAGTGTGTGCTGTGCTCTCTGCCTCCCCCTAGAGTGCAGCACCCACCTCTGTGAGTGAACAACGAAGTACTGCAGCTTTTTAGACGGTGTGTGTGTGTTTTCAGCTCACTCTGGTCACATGATCCTCTATGTCAGCCAGTGGTGGCTTCAGGGGAGAGGAGAGAGCACCTGTGTGTCTGTGTGTATGTACATGTATGTATCTGTACATGTGTCTGCATGTACAGTTGCAAGAAAAAGTATGTGAACCCCTTGGGATTACGTGGAGTTTTGCATGAATTGGGCATAAAATGTGCTCTGAACGTCATCTAAGTCACAACAATAGAAGAACACAGTCTGCTGAACATAATACTACACAAACATTAGACTTTGCTATGGTGTAATTGCACATAACATGTAAACATTCACAGTGCAGGGAGGAAAAAGTATGTGAAGCCCTAGCTTAATGACTTCTCCCAGAGCTAATTGGAGCCAGGAGTGAGCCAACCTTGACTCCAATCAGTGTGATGATATTGGATGTGTTGCTGACAACTGTCCTGCCCTTAAAAGACACACACCTGTTTTGGGTTTACTGTTTCGAGAAGCACTGTCTGATGTGAACCATGCCTCGCAGAAAAGAGCTCTCAGAAGACCTACGATCAAGAATTGTTGACTTGCATGAAGCTGGAAAGGGTTACAAAAGTATCTCCAAAAGCCTTGATGTTCATGTGTCCACAGTAAGACAGACTGTCTACAAATGGAGAAAGTTTAGCATTCTTGCTACTCTCCCTAGGCGTGGTCGTCCTGTAAAAATGACTGCAAGAGCACAGCGCAGAATGCTGCATGAGGTAAAGAAGAATCCCAGAGTGTCAGCTAAAGACCTACAGAAATCTCTGGCACATGCTAACATTTTTATTGACACATCTACAATAAGGAAAACATTAAACAAGAATGGGTACATTAGAGGACACCACGGATGAAGCCATTGCTGTCCAAAAAGAATTTTGCAGCACGTTTGAAGTTTGCAAAAGAGCACCTGGATGTTCCACAGCACTAGTGGCAAAATATACTGTGGACAGATGAAACCAAGATTGAGTTGTTTGGGAAGAACACACAACACTATGTGTGGAGAAAAAAAGACACAGCACACCAACATCAAAACCTCATCCCCACTGTAAAACATGGCGGAGGGAACTTCATGGTTTGGAGCTGCTTTGCTGCCTCAGGGCCTGGACGGATTGTTGTCATTGATGGAAAATGAATTCCAGAGTTTATCAAGACATTTTGCAGGAAAACGTACGACCATCTGTCCGCCAACTGAAGCTCCGCAGAGGATGGGTGATGCAACAGGACAATGACCCAAAGCATACAATTAATTCAACAAAACAATGGCTGCAACAGCACAGAATACGCCTTCTGGAGTGGCCCAGTCAGAGTCCTGACCTCAACCCGATTGAAATGCTGTGGCATGACCTTAAGAGAGCAATTCACACCAGACATCCCAAGAATATTGCTACACTGAAACAGTTTTGTGAAGAGGAGTGGTCCAAAATTACTCCAGATCGTTGTGCAGGTCTGATCTGCAACTACAGGAAAACGTTTGGTTGAGGTTATTGCTGCCAAAGGAGGGTCAACCACTTATTAATTCCAAAGGTTCCACTTTTTCCTCCCCTGTGAATGTTTACATGTTACAATTAAACCTTGGCCTCCAATGTTTGTGTAGTAGTATTATGTTCAGCAGACTGTGTTCTTCTATTGTTGTGACTTAGATGACCCACATTTTTATGCCCAATTCATGCAAAACTCCCGTAAATCCCAAGGGGATTCACATACTTTTTTCTTGCAACTGTAATGTGTGTGTACATGTGTGTGTGTGCATGAAGAGTGTGTGTGCACCCATGTACTGTGTATGTACGTCATGTGTCTGCTGATTTTGTGTGTGGTAACATGTGTCTGTGCATGTGTATTTCTGTATGTACATGTGTGTATGCGTGTCTGTAATGCCTGTGCCATGTATACCTGAATTTGTGTGTGTACATGTTTCTCTGTGCATGTGTACATATTTCTCATGTCTGTGTGTGTGTATGATTCCTGTGTTTTGTTGTTGTAATATGGCTAGTAGCTCAGGACTTGAAATTTTAAGCCCTGGACTACCCATCTCATGGACTCCTCCACCCACATCCCCTCCTACTCCCTCCCACCCCAACCCTTACCCTACCCCCTGGCCTATCATTCCCTGGAATTGATGTGGGTTTCCCCCAATGATTCCTGATTTTGGTAACACTCTGAACATGGACGCCTACTCCTGCCCCCAGCTCTCAGCATGGGGTTTAAGTGTTTAATATCCCGTTTGGCATCCCGACTCCCCTGCCATCCTACCTATCTTCCCTGAAGACCTACTGGGAACACGGGGGTGGTGAGGAGGGGGAAAAAGGGAGAAGAGAAAAGAAAAAAAAGGAGGAGAAAGGAGGCAGACCATAATTCATCCCCAAGAACCCCTATCCTTATGTCCCTCTCCCACTGAACCCCACCCTACTACCCCTTCCCCCAATTCTGTCTATCTTCTCTTTTTACTCACTGACTGCTGTGACGGGAGTCACTTTGGGTGGGGGGCCCATGGAACCCAGCTCACTTTAGAGAGGTGGGGAGACCCCTGTCTCAGCTCCCCATATCCCTCTTATGTGTAAGTCACCCTGTGCCTGTTAGGGGTACAGGGTGATCTGTCCTAATATTGGGGGATTGTTGATTGTTTAATGCCATGTGGTTGCATCCCATTGTTCTATTGTGTGTCTTGCTTGGGAGCAAAGTATTATGGGATGTATGTGTTTATGTGTATTAGCTTAGTGGTGGGGGGTCTCCAGCAGCCCTCCCTCCTGATGGGACTGTCTGCTGGTGTGAAGTTTGAATACCTGTGTGTCTCTTGTTGCTAAGTATAGATTGCCCTGCCCTGTGTCATTATGCAGGGAGGGGGGGCTGTCCCCTGAGTGTATAAAAAGCCAGTTCGAGTTTCAAATAAAGAGTTCCATGTTCAGACAGACTGGTGTCGTTTAGTCTTGTTTGGTCAGCTGTGGTGTCTGTGGTCGTTGTTCAGACGGGGAAGCGATATTATAACGGGAAGTACCCAAGCCCAGTCTGGGGTCGGTTCCATTACAACTGCCAATTCTCTTTTTTTGACCTTACACTTTCACTTTCATTTGACCCCTCCGACCACCCCACAATTCCCACATTCTGCAGTTCTAATTTTTCACATAAGTCACTAAGTTCTTCTGGGAATCTTAGCTTTGCTGATTACCCATCTTTCCACAACCCGATCAGATATGCCAGGAATCCCCAATTATAATGAATTCCCTTTTTTTTCATCTGGTCCTGCAAGGGTCTCATCAGTCTTCTTCTAGCTAATGTCTCTGAGGCAATGTCTGCAAAGACTTGTAGTTTCCTTTCTCCGAACGTTATTTCTGGGGTCTCCCGCAGTTTTTTCCATATTCTTTCTCTGTCCTCATAATGATGGAATTGAACAATCACGTCTCTAGTGGTGTCTGATGTTACTCCTGGTGGGCGTCTCAATCTGTGTATTCTCTCAATCTTCAGAGGATCTATGGCTGATCTACCTGTCAATGGGTTAAACATCTTTTTTATTTTTTCCCTAAGATCCTCTTCATGTGAATCCTCTGGGAGGCCCTTAATCCTTAGGTTATTTCTTCTCTCACTGTTTTCTCGGTCCTCCAGTTTAAATTACAGTTTCCTCTGTTCCCTTCGCATCTCTTCCAACTGCGTTTCCAGGTTATATACTGTATCTTTGCTGAGCTTGTGTCTCCGTTTTTGCCTCCACTTCTTCCATCCTTGTTAACATTTGTCCAAGAGCCTTATGAATCACTGCCATTTAATTTTTCATATAAAGTTCCAGTTTTGCAAACATTCTGCCATCTCTGTTTTTGTGAGGATTTGTGATATTACTCCCTTTTGTTTGGAGACATTTTGATCATTTACACTGTCATTGTTTATCGATTCATTAATCTGATTCTCTTCCCATGCTCCAAATGACAGTCTAGACTGCTCCGCATCAAACTTTTTAATCCTTTCCTGTTGTATCCCCCCATTGTATCTCTGGGCTTTTTTTCCTGTAATGGCAAGTTTTTCTTTATTGTGCTAGTATTTGTGTTGGACTGCGGGTTTTTTCTACCCCCCCTTTAGTGAAGTTGTTCTTCATATTAGCTACACTTAGCAGCAGATTTTTCACTCAATGTTCAAAATACAATGTTCCCACACCCACGGAAGACCTGTCCTCCTTGTTCTTCTACGATGACTGTACAGTCCCAAGTAGCGTTTATAGCACAAACGTTATTAGCAACACTATTAGGCCCCTGAGATACCCTGGCTCCTTGGTCTTCTAACCATCCAGCCCCACTTCTCAGGTCTACAGTTGCTAACAGAAGAAATAGCGACTTAAATCTCCTGCCATTGCCCACAGCAACTCACCCTCCGAACCCAGGCTTCTGGATCCGTCTGTCTCTATGCGTTCTTCTGTCCCAGTCAGGATCTCATGCTCCAATTTGCAGGATCACCTGAGCGGGTGTCTGGGCGGGAGCCCAAGAAGTCCTGTATCCTGGAGTCCTGGGGTTTCTCCTGGCCTCTGGGTCTCCTGTAGTGTGTCCCTCTTCTCCGGCCGTTGGGGTGTCCAGCCAACTTAATGCCTCCCCACATGGACCATCCCTCCTGGGGACCTTCCTTGTTCAGGCGCCTCCTCAGTCTCCCTCTCTCTGTGCCGCCTGCACTCCAGGAAACACCCCCGCTGGCTGGCGCAGGTCCCTCCGGGAGCTCCGGGATCCCAGCCTCAGAATGCTGGTCCCTCCACCAGAGATCACCACCACCGCCTTCCACCTGGTAACCGACGCCGCGGGAACACAGCAACACCGACCAGTACCACCAACAGGATCAGGTAGGATTGCATGGTGAGATGTAGATAGATCAGGCCCCAGGCTGTCTCCTCATGGCGGACGTCGGGAGCTCCTGCACTTGTGACATCTGACAGGTTCCAGAAGACTACGGGACAATTAATAAAGCGCAGTGCTTCTCGTGCATGCGCAGTGTGCACACGGCTGTGAAGCCGCTTGCTGGCATAGCCGGGTGCCCACACTAAAGACGCCAGCACCGGGAACACCAGACAGCCGTGAAACGGGCTGTGGGGAGGACACCTTGGGATCTAGAGACAGGCAAGTGGCTGTTTTTTAAAAAATAAGCAGCTACACCTAGAGAAGGTAAATCTCCCTAGCAGAGACAGCAATACAATACAATACAAAATTGACAGGGGGTCTAATCCTTTCACATTTTATCCAAAGCAAAATAAAAACGTTTTAGCTAAGCATGGACTTTAATCACAAAACCAAGACATCCTCCTGATCATTAAAAACTAATTCAACCTTCATATTTAGTGTGTAACATGAAACATGGTGCCATTCTGCATCACCCCCCCCCCCCCCCCCCGGCATTCCCACATACCCTTAAACCACCCCCTCAACCTAAATCTTGGAGTTCTTTTCTATATATTTTTTTCATATTGATGTGGCTGTGTGTGGCTTTACAGGATCTTTAAATGGAAAAACTGTAGGTCCCCTCTGATACTGTAGTTCTCTAGGTAGCACAGGTGTGGTCGTATCACCAATCTTGTAATCCATTGTTTACTTCCTCCAATTCCATATCTAAAAGTTGGTATCTCTGTATGAATCTGGGGCTGGAGGAGCCTGTGCATTGCATCCACGATCCACTGATTATGGTTGTGAATCTTTGCAGGCTCCAAAACAAAACGTAATGAATGCACATTTTTTTCTTTTAGCAATATAAATCATTTTATTTTACAAAAAGTGGATAATGTCTCTAAACTGGCTCCATACTGTGTAAATATGCACATGCACTCTTCTGTCAAGCACTTATTCTAGGCCAGTGACACAGAAAGTACTGAACCTAGAGGGTCGGTATAATAGCCAGGCAAATATCATTTTCAGATTAATCATGGCTGAAAGGTTTACTTTAACATAATATATTTTATATATATATATATTTTATATATTACTTTAATATAATATAGCTTGATATAATAAGAAATGAACGCAGCTCTGTAATCATTAAGGCCCCATTTACGTCTCCATGTCGAGTGACAGAGCTTTTTGTTTGCGTGTTTTCAAATGACTTGTGCCAAACAAACAAGAAAGAGCTCCTTTTTCCTGGCATAGAGCTTTACGTGTTTTGCCATGCAGAAAAACACGTTTTCTGGTCTCATTTGGGGTGCCATTAACAAATGAATGCACCGCAAGCATGACTACTTGGTACATGCAGCCAAGTACATGATAGGGGGAAAAAGCAGAGTGTAAGAGATATGAGCTCAGTGCTGTTCTGCTTTTCTTTTCACTATCCATTCACAGGGAGGGGTGGGTCCAGGACAAAATGGGCTCAGAGGAAGTGGGCTGATGAGACCATAAGTTAAGCTATCTCATCACACTGGGATCAGTTACAGAGACCACACTTTCAGAGATTAGATTGCAGAAGCAGTACAGTCAAAAAATAATTTAAATAATGCTAAAAATTGTCACTGCTCCAAAATCACTGCAGCATTTGCCCTCATATAAATCCCGCTCCCACCTCACCTCCCTCACCCTCCTATTATTACTAACTTCCGGAGACATCGCCCCAAACCCTGGCCCTCCACGATCAAACTCCAACTCACAGAAGCAACAGCTTCCCTTCTCTGGCCTCAGCCACAACCGACACTCTCTTATCTCAATTCCCCTGGTTCCATGCGCTGGCCCCTCCCTCTTATGTGCCCTCTGGAATGCCCGCTCAAGATTTCGGCTTGCTCATGATTTGGTACCTTGCTGTTCGCCTGTTGATGACCTTGGCTATTCCTGTGACCTTGCTCCTGTCTCCCAGCTTCCTGTCCTGCTCTAGTGCCCACCTGGCTCCCCACCATACCAGCCCTGCTCAGCATAAACTGTTCCTGCTTCAAGTTGGCTGGGAGATCTGACACATCACTTATCCTGAACCTGTTGTGCAAGTGGGGTGCCCTTTTAACCCAGGTGGGATTCCGAAACATCACTACCGGTCCTGA